TTATTAAGAGAAAGCTAACAATAAGCAAAAAACAATCTAATATAAAAACTATACTAATTTGTTCTCTCTAGACTAATCTGAACTAACTTGACTGCCTCAAGGGTGCCTAAGTTTGATCTACTACAAGAGCTATTTTCTTACGAAAACCTTAGTCTATATTTACAGACACCTAGAATCTGATCAACAAAGGTAATTCTAGCCATATATCAAAATCCTAGGTCCCTCTCTACCTAGTTGGAGCTAAGTAAAGAGAAGTTAGTACCTAGTCTTAAGATATAAAAAGATTAAAAATTGTATAGACCTAAGTGATTACAGTTTATAATAAAGTCTATACTAGAAAAATCTGCCACAGGTAAAGAAAACTAATATAGAACAAAAAACAGAAAAAGAAAAAAGATAACCAAGTACCCTATAACCTGGGTCAGGCTTAAAAATTTTAAGTTGTGCAACTTATAATCTATCTCGAATAATTCTCTTTCTAACATAAAGTCTATCTTAGAAAATCAAATCCTATAGCATCAAGGTCACGTTACAGACACAACAACAAACAAAGTATATGACTTTGTTTACTGCATGAGGTTGCACATCCATGGAGTATTTCTGAAAATAGAAGGAGTAAACAATGCTGATCTTTTGTAGAGGGGAACCTGAATTCTCCACTTTTGTCGAAAAAAAGAAAGACTAGGAGGAAAAAGCTTGCAGTAGAATATTATTTTTTGAGGCCCAAAGGAGTGTGTAGACAAAATAGTTTATTGTCCTCTATTCTTAAGTCTTCTTTTACCAACTTTGTCAACAAAGAGCTCTTTTTTTTTGTCTTTTTACTAAAATTTTTTATACAAGGGCTCCACCTGCCAGTTATTTTGTATAATATCACTTTTAGCTTGCATGTTAAATATACAAAGGAGTCCCTAGTAACAAGTCTAGTTGACCTCTATAAAAACCATTGTATTGTAAAAGAATCTTCTTCATCATCTACAATAAAATTTTGTTTTTTGCTTTTTCAGATTTTTGGAAAAAAGGATCATCAGAAAGAGTTTGTTTTTCTATGCTTTATTAAACATATTATTGATGTCTAATATTCCTTTTTTTATATATTTAACATATCTAATATATTTTATATATACTACATTTTATACTAAATATAAGAAAAGATCAATACTAGTCTATCTAATTATACATGTTTGTAATATAAACAGGCTAAACAAAGATCTACAAACTAAAATAAGACATCATACTATATCAAAATACAGTATTTTCCAAAAGGTCAAATTAGCCCTTTACACTGTAAAATTGAACTATGACTTAGTCATATAAGCTCTAGAAAGAAGGCTTGAAACTCAATTTTTTCATGTAACAATATGCAATTTATTCAGTAACACAGAAAATTTTGAATCCAAATTTGCTAGTGTAAATCCAAATATCTAGGTATTTTTCAAATAAATCCAAATATTTGAGAATTTTTAATGTAAATCCAAATTTATAAACATTTTCATGAAGTTCTTGATTTTTATTGGATACTATTTTTCGATTTTTCTGATTTTTTCAATCACGTGATATAAGAAGTTTCGTGATAGTGTACAATAATTTCGGACCAGTCTAAAAAATTTCGCTAGCCAATCATATTTCGAGATCAGGTGTAACATAAAATGACCCTCTCTTTTTAACGAAATTTTTCCTGGAAATTTTTAGACTGGTGTTACTTGGTCATAAAGTTAGTCAGCGAAGATTGATTTTTGAGATAATTTGGCCTAAATTATAAAATTAATATTGGCTAAAAAATTATTCAAATTTATCCAAATATTTGCGATTTTCAAAATAAATAATAAAAACAATTTTTCCGTGTCTCTAAATTTATTCAATATAACCACGTGATTTGTAATCACGTTATGTTGCGCCTGGTTAGGATTCGGAATTCGGGAGTTTTCAGATTTATTAATTTACTTGATCATATTTGATTCGAAATCAAAAGTACGTAGTACGATATGTAATAAATTCTAAATTTTAACAAAGAAAGAAACAGTGTCACCACACCATCGATTGTTAATCTATTTAGAGATGTAAAAATTTAATTTACCTAATCACACGTTGAGTTACTATAATAATATATCGAAGAATAAGGAAATAAAATATACAAAGTCACACCTCCCTAAGTGGGACCAGCTATAAATTTGTACTTGAGAGGGTATGCATTTAAAGAATTTATAAATTAACCTAATCAGATTTTACGTATATAACTAGCAATTAAAATTTAGAAAAATAAAAAATTTTTTATTAAATAATAATTGTTGATTTCATATTAATATCAAAATATTACGCACTAAGTTAATCAATATTGGTGCTCTAAATAAAGTTGTTTGCAAGAATATTTTTTCCTAATTCTAAAAATTTTATGATTTTTCATTGACCTTTATTAAAAAATTTTCGAGTTTTACATTTAGATAAAAATTTTTAAAATTTTTTATCTAACGTAAAACTCAAAACTATATTAATAAAATATTAATAACAATCATAAAAATTTTATAATAGGTAAAAAATATTCTTGCGAACAACTTTACTTAGAGCACTAACATCGATTAACTTAGTAATGTTTTGACTTTATTATGTAGCAACTATTGTTAATTTTGATATAATATGCATTTAGAAAAAATAATTTATATACCTGGAGCCAGAAAATTTTATGCACATGCAAAATATAGAGGGTGACTAAGTCCCAAGCTTGGGACCAGGCTATAGTGTGCATATAGAGAGAGGGTTTGCACTTAGGGAGGTGTGACTGCATATAATACAGATGTTTCCGGTGAGGCATTAAGATTCCTTTTTCAAACCTCTTATCTCCTTTCATTGGTGAATTTATTTCTAATGAAATTACCAAATTTGAAATACATAATTTAACGTCTTCGAATAATTACAATTTAAGGTTCAACAAAACAAATTAAAAAAAAATTAAAATTTAGAAAAAGCCATTATCTAACGGAGACACCCTCCGCTTTCCGTTTATGTATGTTAGGAAATTATTGAATAAAATTTATTAATTTGACAGCAAATAATGATAAATTTCTTGATCTTAGAGTAATTTTTTTAATTTTGTGTCGTTATTAAGATGTCAAATCAATTTTTCGCTTGGTTACATATAATCTATATTTTTTCTCTATGCATTGCTATTTGGCCAACTCCTTTATTATCACAAGTAACATCTTCAACTCCAACAAAAAGTGCGATATCATTATTAGACCCTATACTTTATTCTTCATTCATAACAAGCAAAACATATCAAAACACTGAAGTAATGTATTAATAAAATGTATTAATCAGGCGAATGTATGCAAATATACATGAATAAAAAGTTGCTCACACAATTTACAATATCACTATTTTTTTTTTTTAGGCTAATGCAAATGGCCAAAAATGTTATTATATTTCAACGCCTCAACCAAAAGATAATAAAACAATTAATAATGAATTAATTACTTGGAATTGCACGGCTGGGTATTTAATTTTGTAGTAAATTACTTATTTATGATTAATATTAGCATTTATTCATTTAAAATTTTTATTGCGTAGTAATTTTTGTCCCAGTTACAATGCATCATATAAATGTACACCTGGATTTTTTTGTCCAGAAAACTCTGGTAAGTTACTTAAAAAAAAATTATTTGAAGTATCCCTTAACCGTTTTACCATAAACTTTATTGACTATTGGGATTTAAAAAAATATAAACTATTTATATTAAATCATACTCACGGACAAGTTTACCTGTGAATATAACGTATAAGGGTAGCAAACTCCAAGTTTGACCTAAAAAAATTAGTTAATAAGAAAAAAAAATTCAATCTTAAGAACTTTTTTAATAATCTTACATAGTATGCATTTATTAATATATATATATTTTTTTTAATTACAGCACAGCCGGTATATTGTTGTGAAGGGTTCTATTGTTCTAATGATGCAAAAAATATAACATTATGTCCTCAAGGTGAGCTTTCGAAAAAAAAAAAAAATGTTAGCTCTCCATTTTTAGTAAATTCTTTATATTTCAATTTTTAGATTCTTTCTGTACTATCGGAACAGTTAACCCAATGCCCTGTAACCATCTTGCAATCTGTCCTCCTGGATCAATAAAACCTGATAAATACTTTGTCACATTAATAATGTTTTTTTTAGTAATATGTTTTATTGTATTATTTTGGTATCAAAAAAAATTTTATATTAGGAAAAACATAGAATATATTAAAAAAATTAATAATTTGAATGGCGTAAATCATTTGCTGAATCAAAATACCAACATTCAGATTAGTGTTAAATTTAACAACTTGAAATTAAGATTAAGCAATGGTAGAACCACTTTAAATGTAAGCATAATTTTTATTAACGTAAAATTGTTCATTATCTGTTATTATTTTAATTTCTTATACTTACTTAAGGAAGTTTCAGGAGAATTTTTACCTGGAAAGATTTATGCAATTATGGGTCCATCTGGTTGGTGATAAACTTTTGTTTAATATTTTTATTTCCAAAGATAAAATGATGACATTTAATTAAATAGGTTCCGGTAAAAGTACTTTAATATCAATTTTAACTGGAAAAATAAGGGAAACACATGGAGATGTGCTAGGTTAATTACTGGTTTTATTATTATTATTATTATTATTAATTTTTCATATTATGCAATGACTTACAAATAATAAATTATAATAATAGTTCGTCGTAATAATAATGATTATGAAAAAAGATCGTTGAAAAAATACGTCAAACTTGTTGGCTTCGTACCGCAGGAAGGTCTATTAATTATCTCAATTTAATAATGTATTTATAATTGTACAGTACGCAAAATATTAAATTCTAAATGATATCATTGATTTTATAGATATTATGATTCGTAAATTAACTGTGCGAGAAATCTTGATGGTACGTTTTGCTTTTATAATTTAAAAAAAAATTTTTAAATTATTACACAATTTAGTTTTTATTGTATTTAAATAATAGCATTCAGCGTCAATGCGTTTACCAACTAAATACAATAAAGAAGCGAAAGTAAAGGAAATTATCAGATTTTTGAAGTTAGATAGGGTGATGAATCAAGAAATTGGAGATGAGGGTAATATTATTAATATAGATCTGACTGAAAGTAAATGCCATTAAAAAATAATTCTTTCATGAATAGAAAACCGTGGTATTTCTGGTGGAGAACGTAAGCGTGTAAATATTGGAATAGAATTAGTTGCTGAACCATCTATAATTTTCCTGGTATTGTTTCAAATTTTTTCATTTTTTTATTGCTATATTTAAATTATTTTAATTTAATAATTTATTTTAGGATGAACCAACCTCCGGACTTGATTCATTCTTAGCACATGAAGTATGTGACATGTTAAGAGCAATTGCTCATGAAAGAGGAATAACGGTAGTAGCAATTATTCATTCACCATCAAAACAAATCTATGATACGTTCGATGAAGTTTTATTATTAAATACGGAAGGAAAATTTGTTGATGTAGCAGGTTTAATGAGGAGGTATCATAGAAATCGTGGAATGAGGTATAATTTATTCAACATTGCACTGAAAAAATCTTACAAGATTAGATATTAATAAATTTCAATAGTCGTGCAGAATATTTAATGGATCATGTTTATAATAATGTCCCTAAAGCACCACCCACCCCACAAGATCAACACAAAATACGAAATATATTAATTTTATTTATTAATATGATAGAATATATCTTTGACGTAATTTTAGAACTTTATTTATTCTTTCACAATATAATTCTTTCATTAATCCATAGAATCCGTAATTATACTGAAACTCGAGATACTCCAAATATAATATGCGTATTTTACTTATTACTTAAACGGGCCTTCGTGCAAATCTATAGAAGACCATCTCAATTTTTATTTGACCAACTTTTACATCTTGTCTGTGGAATTTTTGTTTCGTTGGCGATTTC